CGCTAGAGAGAGACTCGGCAAGAGGACGTCGCCCTTCGTGGTCTTCGTTGCCGATTTAGCTCAGTGAAGGACCGGCCTGCGCGACTTAAGAAGGAGAAGGCCACCCACACTACGGCCTTGGACGACAGAGACACCGAGATCAAAGAGCTCTAGCAACAATTAGAAGAACTGGAACGCACTCAGACCCATAAGAGCGTAACGCCCGTCGTGAACCAGCCAGCACGGGCTGCCGCGCATACCGTCAAGGAGCCGCCCTTCATCCAGGACATCATGGATGAGATGCCCCTCGCTGGATGGCGAGCCCCCAGTTCGACAAATACGATGGGAACACCAACCCTATCGAGCATGTCGCAACACTCAAAGCTCAGATGATGTTGCACGGCGTGTCAGAAGGACTGATGTGCAAAGCCCTTGTAGCCACCCTGCAAGGTCCAGCTTTGGCGTGGTACTCCTCTCTGCCATCGCGCTCCATAACGTCATGGGACCAGTTGGAGACCCATTTCAGGCGCAGTTCACCACTAGCGAGAAAGGCGCTCCAGGTTCAACAAGGAGGCGCTCCAGGTTCAACAAGGAGGTGCAGTAAGGGATATGGCGTCCTTTGAAGAGATACTCCGAGGCAACTTTAACTCGCAAGCTAAAGTTATTAGCTCGTTTGAGCTCCCAAGCAGACAAGTCATCCCAAGGACCAATTCTACTAAGGATAATCCTGGAGTGTTCCAAGCTCGCTACAAAATAGCTCGCGAATGAGCCGCGTGAGCGCTCCTCAGGAAGCTTCTGACTAACAAACCATACCGATCAGACTGCGCCATATCCCTTACTGATGGCGCAGTCCCAGTCCTTTCAGCAGTCTGTGCCCACGTCTCTCAGTAGGCAAAGGCGTGCCTGCTACTTTGGAGATGTGTCACTCACCCGGGCGAGACGTACGCCACAACAGCCACCTGCGCAGCCCTGGCAAGTAACGGCTGTGGCAGGAGCCCAGCGGCCGTTATGCCTGACCTGATGTGAGTGCCCCTATAAAAGCCCTCAAGGCAGAAGAGAAACTTCTTCTTGAGACCTCTAATCTCTCGAGTATAGTGAGAACGCGCTATCTGCACTCTCAGCCTTCGTCTCCTTTTTGCTTCTCCTACAGAGTACTAACTTAAGCATCGGAGTATCCCCACCGGGTAAACTCCCCAGGGATTCTTCTTCTTCTTCATCTCAGGTACCTTCCAGGATCCGTGTGAGTGTCAGCTAGGAGTGACCGGATCACACTACATCAGCCATCCTTGACATGCCATCTCCCTGGACCCATAAAGAGGCGCAGCGACTCACCGGGAGAATAACCGCCCTTAGCAGATTTATATCTAAATCCGCGGATCACTGTCTTCCTTTCTTCAAAGACCTTAAGTGGCCAAAAGATTTCCACTGGACCGAAGAATGTGAGCAGTCTTTCTAGGAGCTGAAGCAGTACCTGAGCTCACCACCCGTCTTGACCAAGCCGAACCCAAGGGATGAGCTATTGCTTTACCTTTCGGCTGAAGACGAGGTTGTCAGATTTGTACTGATTAAGGAAGAAGATTGGGTACAGAGGCCGATCTACTACACCAGCAAAGTCCTCAGCGGTCCAGAGACCCGGTACTCCAACCTAGAGAAGTTAGCCTTAGCTCTCGTCACAGCCGCCAGAAAGCTCAAACCCTACTTCTAGGCCCACAACATCCGAGTACTTACCGACCAGCCCCTTAAGTAGATACTACAAAGGCTGGAAGTATCTGGTCGCCTAGTCAAGTGGAGTGTGGAACTAAGTGAGTTCGACATCGAGTACGCACCCCTACTGGCGATCGAAGCCCAGTCCCTAACAGACTTCATCGCAGAATGTACATTCACCACCAAGGAACCGGTCCCACTACCACCAGTATGGACTCTACACGTAGATGGCTTGTCAAACCAGTAGGGCAGCAGCGCTGGCCTCATCCTCCTCAGCCCAGACGACGTAGTTTTGGAACACACCCTCAAGTTCAAGTTCAAGGCGCCCAACAAGGAGGCCGAGTATGAGGCCTTGATTGTTGGGCTCCACCTTGCCTTGGACCTCGGGGCCCGAAGAATTGAGGCCTTTAGTGACTCACAGCTAGTGGTCAACCAAATCCACGGCCAGTTCGAGGATCGGACCCCTCCATGGCGAGTTATCTACAAAAGGTGCAAGAGCTCATTCAGTAGCTCGAGCATTTCAATATTCAGCAGATCCCTCGAGTCGAGAACACCCGAGCCAACGCCCTTTCGAAGTTAGCCAGCTCGCTGCAGACCGACCTTGACTCAACTGTCCGACTGGATACACTAGCCCAGCCGAGCATCGCACCAACGACCCTTCTTGTCCTCCTAGTTTAGCATGACCCATCTTAGATGGACCCCATAACCGAGTATCTTCAAGAAGGAGCTCTCCTAGAAGACCGAGTAGAAGCGAAGAAGCTCTAACACAGTGCGGCCCAATACTGCCTTATACAAGGCCAACTCTACTGTCGTTCCCACACTCTCCCATACCTGAAGTGTCTCCCCCCAGCTGAAGTAGACTACGTCCTCAGGGAGATACATGAGGGCATTTGCAGAGATTACCCCGGTGCGTGTACATTAGCCCATAAGGCACTCCGATAGGGTTACTTCTGGCCAATGATGAAGCAGGACACCACCCAATTAGTTCAAAAGTGTGACAATTTCCAGCGACACTCCAATATCCATCACTATCCTGCAATCAACCAGAAGGCTCAACACCAACTGGAGCCGAGCCCCGATGCCAAACAAGGCTACACGACCGCACAACAGTCCGGCCGAGCATTCCCCCTTCTCGACAGCAGAACTAGGGGAGGGGTTCGGGAACCGAAATTTTGGTTCTTATTTAAGTTTTGCAATCGAGGATCGGAGGATTCCTCGACAACGACCAACACTGTGCGGACAACGGAAGAACCAAACAACAACTCAAAAGTTCCTCAACCGAGAAACGAATTGGGACTACTTCATTCCTCGACTTCAGAACTAGGGGGTGGTGTTCGGGTCATAGGTGAGCTAGTCCTAAGAGACACATGGCCGCCCAGTCATCACCCAGCCATGTTGGCATAGCTCGGTCAAGCTACGCTACTATTGTGGCCCCCACCTTATCCTTTTTGCCACGTCAGCTACACGTCACACGGATGAGCACAACTGCGGATAAAGAGGAGTAAAGAAGACAACTCCGCTGGGGAATGGGACCCTATCCCGAATACGCTACACGTCACACGGATGAGCACAACTACACGTTACATGGATGAGCTACGCTAACCTCATCCCGACAACCCAGGAAGCCTAACCGACCAGGACACGAATCTTCAACTATAAAAAGGTACTCCATGCCCAAGGTAAGGGACACAACTTCTAGAACCCACACCGTTACTTTGCTCGAACCAGCACCCTCATTGCTCGGCCCGACCATTTAATGCCCTCTCACTGACTTGAGCGTCGGAGTACCTACCTGGGGATAACTCCTCGGGCCTCTAACTTCTTCTCTTGATCGCATATTACATAGTGCAGCACCGTCCTTGTAAGCTCGGCACCACCCAGTCAACAAGGATTATATGGTCGCTCTCCTTAATTCGTGCACTACATCGGATTGAGCAGCATCAATGTTGCAACTTAGGCTATAACTTCTCGATCAAATTCAGCTACACTTTTCATGCCTAAGGAGAGAGCGTGGAACCGTTGACAATGTTGCTGAATTTGATTCTTTAAGTTGTAACCTAGGCTATGATTTGCTTGCAACAAAATTGATTTAAGAGATAATATCATCTAGTTTCCCTTTTGGTAATTTAACGCTTCTGTCATCTGACTTAACGACCAAGGGGGTCTTTGTCTAATGGCTAAAGTTCAATGGGGTCTTTGTCGCAAAAAAAAAGTATAGGGGGGACTTTGTCACTGACCCCATAGTACAAGGGGGGTCTTTGTAATTTACCCTAAAAATAATAAATTATTAAAAGGAAAAGAAAATATAATAGTTGAAATAAAAAAATAAAAATATAAGTATTTTTTCAAATGTTTTCATTATATAAGAAGTTTACAAAAATGCAATATAAATAACATATTTATAAATAAATAATAAATAACATATATTATATATAAATGATATATATATATAATTGATTTGACCACAATATTAATAACCAATATTCAAACAATATATTGGAATTACATTTCCTCTTGGTAAATAAGTAATTTTTATTATCTCATAAATTAAATAATAAAAAATAAAAAACTATAGAATTTTTTATAAATTTAATAGAAAATTTGAACATGCATTAATATCATATATTCTTCATATTAAACAAAAATATCTTTGAAAAATAAGAATTATTATTAGTAAAGATAAAAATAGATAAAATACAAAGAAAAAATGAATTAATATTTTAATCATAGTCCATTTTCCTGGTTAAATAGATTAATGGTTCAACCAGTAAGGTCATTTGGTTGCTGACTATTATCATCATCATCATTTGATTTTATGACATGTAACGTATATACACTTTTACTATATATATATATATATATATATATATATATATATATATATATATATTTAATCTCAGTTAGATTTATTTAAGTTAAAACGGTCCATGCTGGTAATTTTGGCTAGTGATCAGAAGGTATAGTACCTAAAGTTTACGAAGATTATACATGATACAGGTAACTCATTATGGCCTTTGGTTCTTTTTTCTTTATTTCATATTATGTTTCAAAGAAATTACATAGTAACATAGAAAGAGATAACCCGGCCGTCTCCCAATAATTACAGACATGGTGAACTCTGAGCCCTCCAAGAAAGCAACAAATGCAACGAACAATGTCCCAAGGCAATGCTTTGTCCCCTTATGGATCGGTAGCTCCTACTTCACATATATACATGATACATCCCTCTCAAACATGAATCACCCAAAGCCGCTTCTCTCTTAATATTTTGACCATATATGTCACTTTTTGGAAGCTACAGGTCAGGTCACCACTCACTAGTAGAAGAAACCAACCACAACCAGAGCAGCAACTCCAGTAACAGCGAATGAGACGCCCAAGGCAGATGAGCCACTGTTTTCACCCTCGTCGGCTGCAGGTTCAAGTGCGGGTCCCATAGCAATACTCGCAGCTGGACCATATGCAACGGGTCCTTCAACAAAATCGGCCGTTACTTCTTCAATATCTACAGTGGGTCCTTCAGCAAATGCTGGTCCTTCAACAACATCATCACTGAAGCTGGGTCCTGGGGCAGGAGGAGATGAAACATCAGCGTCCGATGAGGAGGCTGGTGGCGCAGGGGAAGTGGAGTTTTTCTTCTTTGCAGCGGGGGCTTTCGTCGCGGGTGCAGGTGCCTTCACTACATGATCACCACTGATAGCTGGAGCTTTTGCTGACGAAGCAGGTGATGTTGCGGGTGCAGGTGCTCCGACTACATGATCACCGCTGTTAGCTGGGGC